CAAGTATTAAAAGTCTTCAATTCATTTTACATTGCCCCTAAAATTCCCTTCATTAGTAGCTCTTCACAGATTTGACCAAAGTAAAAAAATACGGTATATATATATATATATATATATATATATATATATATATATATATATATATATATATCCCTTTTATCTACCTTCTGTTTATAATGAAAACAATCTCTATGCCCTCATCCCTGCAATAATCTGAATAACTACATTGTCTAAAGAAGAGTAACTTGTAAAGCCTTTATGACTTCCACACCAGCAATTCCAATATAAGCCTATAAGGACTACAAAGATCAGGCTTTAAAACCTTAAACTGAAGAGCAATTTGATTTGCTCTGCACCCAATGAGGAACATATTTATATATACATACACATATATGTGTGCATATTATGTATATAATACATGTATATGTATGTTTATCATGGATACTCTATAAACATTTAACTGACTTAAGAAAAAGACAGAGCTAGAATTTTAGCCTAATCAAACCCAAGTATTAATAACTGTTCATCAAAAGAACTACCAAAATTATCTAACTTTATGCTTTAAAAAGCACTGAAAGATTAAGTCCCTCATTAAAGCCCTAGACAGACAGCGCGCACACACACACACACACACACACACACACACACACACACACACCTCTCCTACAAAATTAAAAAGATCAGAACTTTTTTATTGACTTTTTAAATAGAAACTCATTTAAGGAAGAAGCTGCTTCACCACAACTCATCTGAACACTCTCCCTGATCTTTCTAACCATTTCCTTTTATAAAAAGCCAAGGGACTTATCTCAGGTTTCATGCTGGAATACAGCCAGGTGAAACCTCAACCTCTTAGACACCTCAAAACAAAAGACAAACAACTATTAGTTGGATAAATTGTGTTATGACACCAAGGATTACTGGGGCTCTTCCAAATAAAAAAATCATAAGGAAATATATAAGACAGGGTCAAAATAAGATATTTTTTCATTTCTTAGAACCAAAATAGAACTTCATAGGTTTGAAAAACACTATTCTTTAGACTACATTCCAGAATCAAGTATTCTAATTCATAAAGTAGTATCTTTTAACCTATCTTCACAGCTCAAAATAACAGTACTATAGAAAATATCAAAATAATCAATATCAGAAACCCAATCTAATTTCCTGAGCCAAGGATCAAACGGGAAGCACAAAAGCTGGAAACATGCACCTGCGGTGGCACTGCCCGTTGCTTGAGAGCTTTCCCATCGGTGGTCCATCGCTCTTCCAGGTGGATGCCCGATGTGAAACTGGATATCCAGTTCCAGTATAGTTGTTTGCACATCACCACAACTACAAGACGCTGTATAAACGACTCGCGGCAGATTTCCCAACTGCCTCACCCACCCTCACCTCCGTGCACTGTGAAATGTTCTGCCACACATGCTCACATCCACCTCTCTCCACCACTACCTCCAACTCCCTTGTGAAAGTCTCAGGAGCCAGTGTGTTTCCGTTTACTAAGGTTTAGAAGCAAACAGAACAAGGGCTCTACACAGTGAGGAATCAACAGCTGCAGCTACACCACTCATTAACCCAGGCCTTGCCAGTCAAATTGTGAATCTGAATTCCAAGGTCACCTTTGCTAGGCCATTTTATTTTTAAATTTCAGCCAAAATGCTTTTTCATTAAACATGCAACTTTCCAAAGCAGCAGATATATGATACCATCAAGAGCACAAAATATTTTTTAAAACTATTAATGCAAGTTCTGCCACTTTGTACCCTCCTCAGTTGAGTATGCCAAAATCTTTAAAAGATGACATATAAATGAACTTTTTAATCTAAGAAAGTTGAGCGGGGGCACTAAATGCACTAGTAATTGGCTAAACCAAAAGATAACTTTAAATATGCCTATTCTAGATAATGGAACTTTTATTACTAGGAATTTATGAGAACAGCATTAGTCTCCTGCGAAAACTCCACATCCATTAAATGACTTATCCAATTCCAATTTCCAATACATAGAGGCCACTGTTGCAGTATCCCCAAGCCCAGATCTGGTACAAATGTAAAAATTACAACCGATGTAGATACAGCCCTGCTCCCTTCCCTCTGCCCTCCATTGGAAGGCTCCCCCATACCTTCCCTTTCCATTCCCTACGGGGAATGACATTTGGAGGTGGGGGTGGAAGGTAGGAATGCACCCTTATTATCAGTATGAGAAGCGAAATGTGGGGAGAAAGGATGTCTTTCTTAGTATTTGAACATTTTCCCATAGAAACACTATTTTATTAAAAAATAATTCCGTTCATTAGGGATTAAAAGTTACATGATAAAAGAGATATGTAAGTACAATTTATAAGCTCCAAAATGGAGAGAGCATGAACTTAAGGAATAAAGAGACTCAGCATTTGTGGAGAACCTACTAGTTCAGACTCTGTGCCTTATATCGTTATCTCATTTAATCCCTACAATCTGGTCCTCAAAGTAGGAAATAATATACCCGCTTTATACATGAGGGAGGAAAAACAGAAGGCTTGGAAAGGTTAGGAGACAATAAACTCCAGGAAAGGGATATTAAGAATGAAGCATAAAGAGAGAAGAGAACAAAATGTTTAGAGGTAAGACAGAAAATACGGGTAGCCCTTAACTAATTAACATTCAGAATTCCAAAGTTTGTGTAATTTTCTTTGAATTGGAACTTGGTTTTCCAAAGAAATGAAGCTACAAGTCCACAGACTCATCCAAAACTATTGGGTGGAACAGAATGTGCTTTGGAATCCTGAATTTTTCTGATGTTAGAAAAGTATTACACTACAGGTATGTATCTTAAATCAATAACTCCTGTAGGATTTGGAGCTACGTTCCATCATCAGATATCATTAATATTTCTTTAGCAAACCATAAGAATATTCACATTAAATGGGATAAGTAAAGAATATGTACAGTCTCACTTCAGTTCAGATGTTTTGTCAACTGAATTTAGTTAAGTGAGATCTTACTGTAAAACGAGTTATAAGGTTTTTTTTTTCATTCTCCAAAGAAGATACACAAATGACCAATAAGCACATGAAAAGATACTCAACATCACTAATCATTAGGGAAATGCAAATACAGACTACTACAATGAGATACCACTTCACACCCTAGCTACTATCAAGGAAACAAAACAAGGGCGGCCTGTTGGCTCAGGTGGTTAGAGCGCAGCAGCACAGGCTCTTAACACCAGAGTTGCTGGTGTGATTCCCACATGGGCCAGTGAGCTGCGCAACTAGACTGAAGATAGTGACCTGACTTGGAGCTGATGGGTCTGGGAAAAACACAGTTCCCCAATGAAAAAAAAAAAAAAAAGGACAAATACTGTATGATTTCACTTACATGAGATCTACCTAGAGAAGTTAAATTCACAGAGACATAACGCAGAATTGTGGTTGCCAGGGGCTGAGGGACAGAGAAATGAGAGTTATGGTTTAATTGGCCATTCCCTCTCAATTTCTCTAATCACCAGAAGCTGAAATATCCCAGGACTCCTCAAAGCTCTTCTCTTCTCTTTCTAGTCTCATTCCTTTAAATACCACCAACTTGCTGACAAGTCCTAAATTTAAATCTCCAGCCCAGACCTGCCTGTGTTTTGAATTCCAGACACATACGTCCCACTATCTACTTGGTATTTACTCTCTTGAATGTCTTAAAGGAATGTCAAGTTTAACAGTCCAATCTCAAATTCCTGATCTTGTTTTCCCCAAACCTGGCCTCCTGTATTCTCCTCCATCTCAGTAAATGGCAACTTCCTCCTCCACCTGTGCTCTGGCATCATCCTTGACTCCTTGTTTTCATAACCATTCAATTCAATGGCATATCCTAATGGGTCTACCTTCAAAACATAAATAAGAATCCCAATTTCACTATGATCCAAACCACCGTATCTCTTACTTCGATAATGATAACAGCCTCCTAAATTCTCCCTGCTTGTGTACTTCCTCCCCTCAATCTACACAGAAGCCAGAGCAATCCTGTTTATAACCTATGTTGGATTATGCCGTTTTTCTGCTCAAAATCCTCCAAGGGTTCCTATCTCACTCAGAGTAAAAGACATTATCCTACAAAACCTGGCCTCCCCATTACCTATCTGCCTTCATCACTTAATTTCTATTCTTAGCTCTAACCACACTGGCCGGCCTCCTTGTATTTCCTTGACCATGCTAAGCACAAATCCTGATTCAGGGCCTTTGTTTTTCTGCTCCCCTGCCTGGAATGCTATTCTCTTCATATCTACATGGTTCATTCCCTCACCTCCTTTAGGTGTGAGAAAGTGCCTAACCCAACAACTTACAACTGTACAAATCTATCCTTTCCCTCTGAATTTTCTCTCCCCCTTCCCTGAGTTTTCTCCATACACTACCACATGGTGTACCATTTACTTTAACCCATCTCCACCTCAAGTAAACTGTAAGCTCCAGAGAATAAGGATTTTTTTTACATCTGTTTTGTTCACTCTTGTATTGCCAGTGTCTGGCATATGGTAACCAGTACTCAGTAATATTTATTGTTAAATGAATATTACCTATGATAACTTCAGCTATTACATATGTAGTTTCATTCATCACCTATGTGCTGATAACCTGGCAAAGATCCTACCCAAAGCCCTCTTGACCTCCATATACAACAGTCTACAAAAGATCTCCACTTTAGATATTACACAAGTCCCCAATTTATGTAAGCACAGTCTCTTCCTTCATCCAAAACAGCTTCTGTTCCATCATGTACTCAAAACAGAAGAACACTGGGAGACCTATTTGGTTCCACCTTCTTTTTCAACCCTAACTCCTAATCCAACACTATCTTTTCCATTCTATTCTGAATCTTTCTCAAAGTCTCTGCCTACTGTCCCTCGGCTGCCTTCACTTAGACCCTAGTCACTTCTCATTCTGACTACTGTAATCACTGGGCTGATAGGTGTCCTTGTTCAGGAAGTCTTCAGTTCATTCCTCACTGTGTCACCAGAGTTGAGTTTCTAAATGCAAATACAATCATGTCACCCTCTTTAAAAAAAATTAAAAATCTTCAGGAGCTCTTCAAGAGCTACTTAACTACTTTATAAAGCTACTGTAACTAAAACATAAAGTACAAACTTCTTAACCTTTACCACAGGATATTTGTGATCTGCTCCATACTTTTGTTTTCAACCTCATCTCTTCCTTGAACTGCAGGCAAATGAAGTACATCCAGCCCCAAGGGTTTAGTAAGTTTTATTACACCTAAACTGTTCTATGTGAAATGCCTTCCTCTTATTATTCAATAAATTCTTACGTAATACCCTGCTCAAATAGCGCCTCCTCTATGAAGACTCCTCTAACATCCCTAGACAGATGCCTTCCTGTTCATCTGATTGCATCTTATGCATATTTCTATTGTAGCATTATATTACAAACTAGCAGTCAGTAGCTAAAGATCTGGAGTGAGATCTTAATAATTATGGGGTTCAAACACCTAATAACTATGTAACTCTAGGTAAGATAATCCTCCTAAAGCTTCAATTTCTTCATCTGTAAAACGGGAGCAAGTAATAACAAGGTTGTATGAAAGCAACAAAATGATATATAATATTGACTGTAAAAGAGTACCTATTACTAATCACATGGCTTTAATTTTTGTTTATAAACGTCTCCACAACTGGAGGAAAGAGACACATTTTCTATTTTTCTGTGTATTTCCATCACCTGCCACTAAGATAGTTAGCAGAAGCTCACATTTATCTAGTGCTCACTACATGAATGACACACTAAGCACTCTGCAAATATCAAATCATGTAAGTCTTTCACCAAACCTAAGCAACTTGGTTGACTAAGGTCACTCAGCAGAGATAGGATTTGAACAGGCTATTTCTAGTACCTAGGATCTTTTTTTTTTTTTTAAATCTAGTACCTAGGATCTTAAACACACCGTCTTACTAAATTCTCAATAAAATTGTGCTGAATTGTTAAATGGATAAACTCAAACTACATCTAAACAGGGGACCGGCCGAGAGGCTCAGTTGGTTACGAGTTGGCTTAAGAGTGCAGGCTCTGAGCAATGGGGCCGCCAGTTTGATTCCCACATGGACCAGTGATGCTGCGCCTGAGCTGAGTTGTCGCTGAGCTTCCAACAGGTGGTAGGACAGCTCAGCTGGTGTAACAACAAGATTGCCTGTCCGATTATGGGCTACACCCACCTGCAACTAAGACTGAACTCGGCACCTTGAGCTGAGCTGCCACCTGGATGGCTCAGTGGATAGAGCATGTGCTGTTAACAAGGCTGCTGGTTCAACTCCCGCATGGGATGGTGGCTATGCCCACCCGCAACTAAGATTGAACACAGCACCTTGAGCTTAGAGGCCACGAGCTGCTGATGGGAAGCCTGATGGCGACTGGCGCCCTCCACAACGAAGATTGAAATACAACTTCGCAGGTCCCCTTCCCCAATTTCCCAATAAAATCTTTAAAAAAAAAAAAAAAATATATATATATATATATATATATAAACAGTCTTTAATATGTCACTTATAATTTATGGGTAAATACCTAAAACACTAAAACAGTCCCCTACTCCCCATCCCTAATTTCACCAGTACCAAGGAGAAATCACTCCAACAACAAAAAAAAGTAGTCATGGGGATACCTTAAAATCCTGGCACACCAAGACTAATGTCCTCTTACTAGCGTTCAAAGCCCTTCAATATCCAGCCCCATACTAAGTCAGTCAACATATTTTTTTTTTTTTTTTTAAGATTTTTATTGAGGAATTGTGGGGATGGGAACAGTGCTGGGGAATTGGGGGAAGGGGAACAGACAAGTTGATGTCGTTTTTTTTTTTGTTCTTCAGTCTAGTTGTGGAGGACGTTGCTTCACTGGCCCAGGCTGGCACCATCATTGCGCTCTTCCCGGGCGAGGCAGATCAGTCGCCGGCCTCTGGACGGCCACTCACGGCAGCTGCTGGCCGCTCACGGCAGCCCATGGCAACCCACTGTCACAGGGGCTGCAGCCTCCGCCGTCACTGGCGACTCACAGCTGCCCAGCTCCAGGTTGAGCTGTTGTTCAGCATCTTAGCTGTGGAGGGCAGTGTCACTGGCCCTCATATGTGGGATCCGAACCGGGGCCCTCTGGTGTCCAGAGCCAGTTCTTAACCATCGCACCACTCGGCCGGCCCCAGTCAACATATTTCTTACCGTTTACTAACAAATGTTCAACTCTGCTTTATCTCTCAAACTAAACTATAGGCAGGCCTCACTTTGTATGGTGCCATGTTAACTGAAACTTGCGCACACCAGAAGTAAGATCAAATCTCGGTCGCCACAGAAATGCATAAATGTATGAACACGATTCTGATGTATCACGTTTCTATTAACACAGTGCCACGCAAAGCAGGGGCTGCTTGTATTACAACACCTTTATGGGCAGCTGTATTTTTTACACCATCTCCAATGTGACTTGCATAAAGTAGGTCCTCAAATATTTGTTGATCTGATGAACCTAACAGTCTCAATGTCTCTTGTATTGATAGTGGTTTACTCCTCAAAGCTTAAGTTAATGTTTATTCTACCTGGTAAGCCTTCTTTCTCCCCATTTACCTAAGGCCTAATCATCCTTTAAGCTTGCTTTTCCGGGATCATCTCAGGTCACACCAATTCTTACTAATCTTAGTATATTGTCAACATGTGGAACAGCCTGTATAATTTACTACAGCAACAGATTACATAAATTGTCCTCTATGCCACTGTTTGCTGTTTAGCTTCCTATGTACTTTCCCGTACTTGCATTCAATACATGCCTTATGATTTTGATGCCTCCGTAACATTTTTTTACGGGGTAATAGACGATGTTATTGTGATTAAGGGCATAGGATTTGAAATCACACAGGCCTGAGTTCTAACTCCATCTCTGCCATTACTACTGGGTTATCAGAAAAGTCATGATGCATTTTTGCAACGAAAAACAGAAAAATACTTCCTGACTTTTCCGACAACCCAATAGTTATGTAACGTCAGGGAAGCCATGCAACTAAGTCTCAGTTTCTTCATATGTAAAATGGGGATAATAATCCTTACCCCAGAGGAGTAAGAGAGTTGTTGAACCTAACTTACTTCATTTCAAGTAACTGTTCAATTCTTTATGCAAAAAAGGAAATTATTTTAATACCTCAAATGTTCTAACAAGCAAATCCTTCAAAACTAAAAAACATTAAAACAAGTATGGAAATATAACATGCAATTTGGTAATATTTTATATAAAAATCATTCTATATTTGTCAAGAAGGCTGTTATGATCCAATGGAATGAGATGACTATAAATGCTTCTTTCTGGTGATGGACATTTTAAGAAAAAACATTTCCTCCAAGCTCATAAGATCACTGCTGAAATAAAATTCCAGAACAGAAGCCTATACTACTAATTTTTTATGCTTCTATTTTTCTTTTCAGAAGTGGCTCTTTTTTTATGGAAGTGTTCCTTATATAGCTAATGATAGAACATAGTACCAGGCAAACTATATCCTTACTTCTCCTAAAATAAAATAAAAAAATCAAAACCAATTCACGGATGACTCTTTTGGATAAAAATCTTGTTAAACATTTCAATAATTCTTGGATTAGATGATATATCAGATGATATGATATACCATGCGAAGTTACTCAAGATAATCACTATGCACAAATACTGGATTTGGTTTTTAGAGTATGTTTCCTACTAAATTGTAAACTCTATGAAAATATAAACTATGTCTTACTCATATAGCCCCTACATGTAGCATAATTTCTAGAACAAGTAGGCACTCAATAATTGATGGGTTGCAATATTCCAATATGCAAAGATTCCAATATTAACTCCTTTATCATTTATCCCTTAATGGTCCAACTGTAAGACTGCCTAAATCCCTGTAATAAAATCTTCCTGCAAAATTTTTTAAACAAAGGTTGAAGCAGCTTCTGCTAAGCCATATCTAGCCTCTAAAAAAATGACTTTGTGCATTATCTTCATGAATGCTTTTATTATTTAAAACATCCTCTAATCTAATCAACAGTAACTTTCCCATTGGCTTCAACCCACTTTCTCTCTTACATTTAAGTACCTGGAGTCATCCTTGATGACCTCTTGTTCCTTCAGATTACACATCAAATCTATCACTAACTTCTGCTGATTCCATCTCTAAAATGTATTCTAAATCCATCTTCCTCTCTCCCTTTTCCACTGCCACCTCTCTAGTCTAAGCTGCCATCTTCTTTCCTCTGGATCAATAAAAAACCCTCACTCTTCCCTGCTTCTACTCTTACCTAATTCCAATCCATTCTTCATACAGTGGCCAAGAAAAAACAATTTTTAATGCAATTCTGATCCTACTATCATTCAATGGTTTCCCACTACAATTAAAATAAAGACCCAAGTCCTAACTTACATAAGGAAAACAATTTTACAAAGAAACAGCAGAATATTCACGAATCAGATGGATAAATTGCTTTTACTGCTCTACCCACAAAATAATTAATCCTGTTTCTTATCCATGAATAAATTATTTGATTGTCCAATCTAAATATCCAATTTTACCTGCAGTGCTTGTTCTTGGATATCACGAAATAACTCCATATCTTTCTCAGTCATGATTTCCTGGCTCCCAAAAAGCCGTTCCTCACTTTCTTGTTTGCCATCCCAGCCATCCTGATTGTCTGCACATAAAGAAAGGGTTCACACATTATTAATACTATCCTTAGTTTAATATAACCAGAAAAAATTTTTTCAGAAATTTTTATTTCAATTTGAAGACAATATTATTTATACAACAAAGAAGAGGACAGCATTAAACTGACTCCTAGAAGGATACTAGTCAATAAAGAATATGTACATATTATATCTACCTTATAATGAAAATACTGAATTGCCTCAGAGCTTCTAAAAAATATTACATAACCCATTTTAATCTTCATTAAGAGATATTTTAATATATTACAATACATACAAAAGCAGACAGGAAAAAGGATTCTAAGGAGTATGAAATTTATTTTGAAATAGTATGAATATAAAACTTTTAGTATAAATTTAACATAACATTCAAATATTGGTTTTTCATTTTTTGGTAGTATGGACGTTTATGTTATAGTAAAACATAATTTTCATCACCTGAGAAAATAGGGAAAATTTGCTCTTTCTAAAATTCTCTATGATCCTGCCATCGTCATAAGACCAATACATTCTTATCTCTGCAAAAAGATAACCTTCAAAACAGCTATCTTAACTGAGCTCAAGAAGTACCGACTCCCTCACATTGAGTGCCCTTTTAAAGTCCAAACTGCACAAACCTGAGGATCACAGATGATAATCCTCTGGGTAAGTATGAGAAATTATAACAATCAATCCACTAAATGATGCATCTTCCTCAAATGGACAAAGAAATTGGTGAAAGGAATATTGGGGGATTACGTAGATCATTATTCTTTGCACTTGAAGATGACACTGCTGTTAGACTCATTTCCTCTTTGTATGAGTGTGGCTGAAAAGACCAATTAATGAGATAGTTCTTTTCATATCAACTGCATATATAAGCTGTTTGTTATTCATTTAGTATAAGAAAAAGGACAAGGACTCACTGTTCACAATATTTCCAAACTGAAATTTTATATATATATATAAAATCTAAAGATACTATGTGATGCTAATGCCCCCTAGTGCATGACACGAATGCAGGCACAGGTCTAGTGCAGCATTCAGTAGCATTGTTACCAGATGGTGCAGACTGTTCCTTAAACTCTAAAATTCATTAAAGTAAATGACAGAGCCAATTAAAGCAAACGCTAACACCAATGCCTAAAGCTCAATACTGGGTCTCCCTATACTTTACACACTTGCTCTAATAACTTCTATTTCTAAAACTTTCCAGTAGATTCTTCTAATAATTCACCTCCAGTGAAATGGTTAATTAAAAAATGCCTTTCATTAGGATCTGCTTTATGAGATTCTTTCCTTCTAAGTCCAACCTAAATGGCTTGCACATTTTCTCAGATAAACATGCTCAGACTGGTGCTTATCTAGTCTATATGGCTGATAAAAACAGGAAGAGTACTTAAATGCTTAAAGAGTAATTAGTTGATTGCCACTGTGCCGAAAAGCCCATCAATACAGCATTAAAAAGGAGGACCTGACAATGACAAGAATGTTCTCTCCTGCACTAGCCCAATCAACCATTTATACAAGTAAGAATGAGGAAGCAGTGAGTACAATTACCAACCGGACATTCCAGGAACAGAAATCAAAGGTAGGCAATTCTCTCAGTATATGACACAAAAGAGTCTTATGATCCAAAAAGCCCATTCTCATTCTTCTACATTTCTCAGAACTCTTTCTACTTCCCACATAGGATTAGATTCTCTAAACTCAAAAGCACTCAATAGCAATAAGGCTAGTTTAAGCCTTAATATTTGGAGAGCTAATCAAAATTTTCTCCTCTGACCTGAATCAACCTGTTATACTACTAAGTCTTCTCCACAGAAGTTTTCTACTTTGAAAACTAGGAAACTCAGCCTGATATATAAGCAAATGGCCTGGAGCTATGGTTCTCTCTCTCTCTAAGTGTAATAATCCATGAAAAATTACAACTGTATTTGCCAAATTTGAAGTACAAAACTCAATGACCTTATCATATTTGAATATATTTTGGTCTTTCCCTTATGTTTAGGTCAACAGGATTTTATCCACCCACGCTCTTTCCAATTTCCTTCCGGGAATAAAGTAAGCATCGTGACGCCCATCACATGATTTATTTTGTAATTTATGAAATGTAAAGATATCCTTGACTCAAGGTTATAGCCCAAATTTCTGTAGGCAGATTCTTTGTGATTCGAACAACAACAACAAACAACTTTTGTCTAAGAGTTCCTGCTTGTCCATTCTGCAACTTCATGTCTAGCCTCTAAATTCTCGCCATAGTTATCACCTTGGTATCATTAAATATATTTTCTTTTAAGATTTTTATTGGGGAATTGGGGGATAGGAATAGCGCTGGGGAATTGGGGGCAGGGAAACAGACAAGTTGCTGTCGTTTTGTTCTTCAGTCTAGTTGTGGAGGATGTTGCTTCACTGGCCCAAGTTGGCACCATCACTGCACTCTTCCCAGGCAAGGCAGATAAGTCGCCAGCTTCTGGACGGCTGCTCACGGCGGCTGCTGGCCGCTCACGCTGGCTGCTGGCTACAAACAGTAGCCCATGGCAACCCACTGCCACAGGGGCTGCAGCCTTCGCCATCACTGGCAACTCACGACAGCCCAGCTCCAGGTTGAGCTGTTGTTCAGCATCTTAGCTGTAGAGGGCAGTGTCACTGGCCCTCATATGTGGGATCCGAACCGGGGCCCTCTGGCGTCCCAAGCCAGTTCTTAACCACCGTGCCACTCGGCCGGCCCTAAACATGTATTTTTAATATACTCTTATATTCCATAACCAATTTTCAATAATGAAATATAAATCTATTCCAGATAACTAGTGTTACTCCAAATAATACACTTTTGGAATACCTTCTGCTTCTAAGTGAATAAATTTTTACCTGTGGGCCAATCTGAAGTGCTTGATTTTCTGTTGCCCTTTTTCCTGATTCTGTATTGCTCAGAGTAGTCTACCACTTCCCCTCGAGGTTTCCGCCCATCAGGGGAAGGGGTGAAGAATTTGGTAAGGCCATCAATGAGCCCTTTGGTTTTCTTGTTGAACTTCAAGGAGACACTGCTATCTCTGCAGAAGTCCAAGCCATCTATTCGCTCTAAATATCCTTCTTCAGATGATGATGCTGATTGGCTGGAGATAGTGATTTTACGTTTCCGACCCCTTCCAGGGCCAGTTCGAACTTTGCTGAAGGGACTTTTTGATCTAAAGAGTCAAACAGGGAAATGGGTAACTATTAAAAATAAATCTTTATAAGGTTTTTATTTAATATATTGCATAATTAGCAAATAACCTACAGCTTTATAAAAAAATCTGCATTGTTAAGAATAGTCCATAAACTGTAAATATTGTATGATTAAGAATATTATTATTAAAAACATCTTATTTCCAAGAAGCCTAGTTATTTTCTAGTGAAAAGAATCCTAAGCCAGGAGTCAGAAGGCATGTTTGAGTCATAATTCTGCCACTTACTAGCTGTACATCTTGGACAAATCACATTCTCTCTAAACATCAGTGTCTTCATCTGTAAAATGAGAGTTGGACCAGAGAACAAGTAAGACACTTCCAGATATAAAGTCTTATGATCTCTGCACCAACTCAGACTTGTACTTTTACCTTTAAATACAAGGATGGGTTACTCTCTGAAAGTGAGGAATCAAAAGATCATTTTATAAGAATATTAAAGCTTAAGATTTAAAATATCAATTATAATAGTTGGTCTATATAGTTAAATCTGCTATTGTCCATTCATTTCAGTTACATCACCTTTAAGATAGTCCTAAGTGGTGGGTAAACTTTTTGAGAATAAAGAGAGGTTTACAGGCCTAAAGATATTTTACATATCATCAAAAGTGAATTACCTTAGAGATACTAAAAAAAAAAAAAAGATAGAATTAGCTACTGAATCTTGCCCCACCTCCTTCAGACATAGCCCAGTTTCCTAGTCCACAAAAGATAATTATATCCTGATTTCTACTAACAGATGAAAAACTCACATTATTTTACATCAGGACATAAAAATGGCACTTAGCTATGGCCTCAATAGAAGAAGCTATTCAGTGATTTGTACATCTAATAGAAATAAACTACTGAGGCTGATATCAGGTGAAAAATCTGTAAAGTGCTACAATAACATAATGTTTTCTTTCATGCTTTTTATGTAAGGCAATAGTTAAGAGCCAGGCACTGGTGCCAGACTACTTGGGTTTTAATCCCAGCTCAACATTTACTAATAAACTTGTGAAAGTTAATCTCTCTATGCTGTAGTTTCCACCTTTGAAAAATGATAGTAACAGTACCTACTTCATTGGGTTGTTAGGAGCATTAAATGATTTAACACACGTAAAGTACTTAGAACAGTGCCTTGGCACTTCAATGAGGATTCAATAAGTGTCAGCCATTACTATTACATAAAAGTGCCAGTTTCAACAATTGAAATCTTTTCATAAAGCAAACAAGCGAATCCTACACTATAGAGAAGGCCCTATCCTTTTCTCCCCTCACCTTGCCACAAGTACAACTTACACCGTGTTTTGTTTCTTTAACCTGTTTTTTGGACGTCCTATTGGATTAGCATAGCGCCGTTTTATCTGTGCCGCCTTCTTTTGTAGAAGTTTTCGTCCTTTTTTCCTAGGTCGACATATTTGACATATCCACATGCCTATAAAGAAAGAAAAGCACAACAGATATAAACACACTGAAAGAGTTCATATAACTCTAAGTCATGAGTTCTTAACCTCTTTCAGGTCAAGGACTCTCATTTGAAAATGTGATTAAAGCCCCCAAGAAACATAAACATGAAAACATATACACACAAAATTCTACAAACAATTAGAAGAGACTCACAAATATCCTGAAACCCACACATGGTTGCAGTCCACTGATCCTCAGTTAAAAATCCCTGCTCTATACCTAGCACCCCAATATTGGTTTCTAATTACCATTCTACAAAAAAAGAAGCCAGGTTTCCAGAGAGTAATGGCTGATTCCAGGACAGAAGCAGGTAAAATACAAGATAACCTGGAACATCCTGTAATGCCAGAAAATAAAGAAGTGCTCAAAAGATGATGAAGGGATGTCAAAAGGACATAAGAGCCGACTTGAAGGAGTTCCCAATAGTCAAATCTAGGCCAATCTGAGCAAAAACAGAAATAATCATAGCAATGGGTCATAATCCATAGAATAAAATAAATGTGGTGAGTCCATAATTATATAAATAAATAAACAAATAAATAGATGGGAGAAAAGGATAGCTCTCACTTACAAAAAAATTACAACTAATAAATGTAGAAATGATGATGAAAATAGAAAAATCATCATTATGCAAATACCATGTAAAAATTGGTGCATGTAAGAGTCATATATGGATGCTAGAGTTAGTGGGCAAAGCTGTCAAGTTTCTCCACTGTAATCAAGTGATGAAAGTTAACAATACTAGTAATAAGACATACCGGTGTAATATACCCATTTTCATGCACTGACAAGGGCACAACATCACTTCTGTGGTACTCTTGTCAAACTTCATAACCTTAATCTAATCATGAAAAAGCAAGAGACAAGCCCAAATTGAAGGACTTTCTACAAAATAACTGACCAGTACATACTCTTCAAAAGTGTCAAGGTGGAGAAAGACAAAGTCTGACGAATTAAAACCAACAGGAAGAGATTAAGGAACTATGACAACTAAATGTACTCTCAGATTCTGAAATTGGATTCTGGACCAGAAATTCAAATAAGGTATGTAGATTTGTTAATTGTATCATATCAGTGTTAGTTCCTTGATTTCAATAATTGTACTATGGTTTTGTAAGACATTAACTTACATTAGGGAAGCTGCGTAAAGGGTACAATGAGAATGCTCTACTATTTTTACCACTTTTCTAGAAGTCTGAAATTATTTCAAAATAAAATGTTCCCTACTTTAAGCTGCTATAAAACTTTTGTAGGCATTAGATACACAGGAATGAAGTTCTAAGAAAATTTTTCTTATCTTGAAGGATTCTCAGAAAGCCTTCTGCCCAGGTTTCAAGTAAATGGAAAAGATAGGAAAGGGGGTATTTATTCTTCCAATACATATAAATTTAAGACTTTTCAAAAGGTAACAATCAACAAAGTAGTGTAAGAAGGACTTAAGTAATATCCTAAAGTGGAATAACCTGGTCATACCTAAGGTTGAGTCTCTTTCCATCAATAGGAAAACTTTCTCCAAGGACATTAGCAAAAATCCTACAAGCATTTTACCTAAGAAATGTATAAACCACAAAATCAGAGCTGAAAATGGAATCTGTGATAAGACCAAGCAGGGGCACTAACTAGATTTTTTTAAAGCAACTATAAGCATATGATAAGACGGAAGTCCAATCAACAGGCAATTATATCCCAACTAAATACTGTTCAAGGAATAGGGGTTAAAAGAATAGAATGACATTAAACTGTACTGTTATGATTTGGGCACTTATTTGTTTGCACATTATTTTCTAAAAAGTTTTTTTTTTTAAGTTTTGAATAAACCAGACTCTATTAGCTCTAGGCTCCTCAAAAGTGATGAGCAGTGATATAATCAACATTTTTTCTTTCATTTATTCATTCATTCATTCATTCATTCATTCATTCATTCATTCATTTATTTTAGCTGAGCCATCCTGCCACCTGTTGGCAGCTCAGCAGCTGCTCAGCTCAGGCTAGAAATTGAACTGCTGTTGCTCAGAGCTCACACTCTCGAGCGAGCTCTTAACCAACTGAGCTATTCGGCCAGCCCAACATTTCTTCCTTGAAAGAAAGAGATATTTCAAAATATTATAAGGCAAGCATTTTGTCTTCTAGCTATAGGACTGGAAAATATTTATAAAAGAACCACTTCGGGGCCGGCTGAGCGGCTCAGTTGGTTAAGAGCTCGCACAAGAGTACGAGCTCTGAGCAACAGCGATTCGAGTCCCAGCCCCAGCTGAGCTGCCGCTGAGCTGCCAAAAGGTGGCAGGATGGCTCAGCTAAAAATAAATAAATAAATAAAAGAACCACTTCACCCTACATAGATACTTAAATATGGAAAATAATAATAAATCCATAGCACATAAGAATGTTAGGACACCTAAACAGAAAGACTGTCCCCACCTTTTAAGGTTACAGCTCTCTTCCTACTTATACAACCCCAAATAAAAGATGCAAATTACTCTTTCATTTTAACAAAGTAGATAAAAAGTGCTTTCACTAACATACCCCTTTATATCGCCAGTGTGATTTCAGAAAGTATTTCTCACCTTTTGGCATCCGGGTGAGTGGTGGGTCACAACACTCCATGTGAAAACCTCGGTCACAGGAATCACAAAACAGCATGTTATCCTAAAAAGGAGAAAGGACAGTTCTGCTTAATTTTATGAAACAGAAACATATCGGACCACGACTTCATAAAACCTAGGAAGTTTCAACGATCTCATAAAGGAGATGTCAAGTTATTGTAACAGTAAGTTTCCTCAATTTGTAATTGAGTAAATGGACAGTCTGAATTAGCAAAAAGTTCTGCTTCATCCAATCTTTAATAAAGAACTAGTTTCATTACTTTCAAATTTATCCAGTGACTAGATATAAGCTAACTTTAGTCTGTTTTAATAATTTAAAAAGGATGATCTGTAAATAACATACTAACTGACCATTCCTAAATGAATGTCTCTCCATACTACTCAAATTTTGGAGTTTCTTTAAAATAGCTTAGTCTCTGCAAATTCAAATTAAGGTGCTATAGAACTACCTAGAAATAATCCAAGTCTCAATGAGCTGGTATACTAAACTATTAATATGTACCTTAAAGAGGCTACTGTTCTAAATTCTACTGAACCAAATGACTGAAAATTGACAAACCATACATAGAGGGAAATGCCACTTGTACATTTGAATTCCAAGTGAAATATTCATAGTGGAAGGAAGATACTCACTGCATTTTTGCCTTGATCTCGACAGGAGCTGCAAGTTTTACACTCGATGCATTGCCACCGTAAAGCCTTCACTCTAACCGTTAGTTCTGGGGAAAACTTTAAACAGGATGGATGACCTATTAAGAGGGAAAATTCAGAAATGAAACAATCAAGAATCATTCTGTAATTGTATTAAAGGAATAATGTAGAAAAAGGGAATTATCTTAAAACATGTATTAAAGTAAACAAGATACTCCTGAAGGCTTGCCATACACGTTTCATCAAGACTGGTACTTCAATTCAGTTTTATTAATGCTAAATAGAATTTAGTATACACCCCCACAAATTTGGCTGTTAAAAAACTTGACAAACTCCAAACTTTTACTAAGACTGCATTAAACCATAATGTGCGTACACATGCTTGTGTGTATATGAATACATACTATGCTCAGGCCATTTCTAGAAGAATACTCAAAAATTGTTTACAATTGTTAACATCCTAGGACATGGACCTATAAACATTTTGAAGGAGAAAGATTTTACATTTCACATTATACCCTTCTGTGCTCTCAATTCTTTAAACAGTAATATGTGTTACCTATATAACCAAAAAAAATAGACTAAAAATCTGCTAATTTAAAGTGAGTTATTTGCTCATGGCTTAAGGCACTCAAGCTAAAACTAAAATTTAAGCAATATTTCTGTTGTGATCAGAATTAGCAGTAACAGAAAAAAATTGTTTCCTTTTTCAACAGTTAGTATCAGTTTGATTCTCAAAAATTTAGAGTAGTCAATTTGCCCTCAACTCTTCTGAAAAGATTTGTCCCTTTCCTCTAAAATTCAGTTATGTGTCTTTTTCTTTGATGAGAGAATGGGCTGGTTCAATTATTTTCTCTCCTCTCTTTCTTATTCCTAAATAATTATCTTTTATGAGATGGTAAGAAATGTATCATCAAAATATCACTAACATTAAAGAAAAACGGGAGAAGAGGTATAAAAATCTCACATAATCTTGTCATCCTAGAATAACCATTTTCATGTTCTACTTTTCCTTTTTTAAACTAGCTAAAAGTGGGGCGGCCAGTTAGCTCAGGTGGTTAGATCACAGGCTCATGGCACCAAGGTTGCTGGTTCGATTCCCACATGGGCTGGGGAGCTGTGCACTCCACAACTAGATTGAAGACAACTACTTGACTTGGAGCTGATGGGTCCTGGAAAAACACACTGTTCCCCAATAAACTTTCTTAAAAAAAAAAAAAACTAGTTGAAAGGTCTGGCATGGTCTTAACTATAGGGTATATACAGTTTTGTTTTGCTTTTCTTCATAATTTTAATCAATAAACTCTATATTTCTATTTCTTAAACTGATTATATTCCACCGAGTCAATACAATATAACCTACCTGACCATTTCCTTATTGTTAAATACTTAGACTAAAATAAATTATTTCATGTTTATAGATTCTTTCTTTCTTTTAAAGTAATTCCTTATGATAAATTCCTTTGTTGGTGAGTGAAACGAAATAAACATTTTTATAGCTTAAGAGGTAGATGTGCACTGTCAAAACAGGTTCCAAGCCCTATGAGATATCCAGTGCCACAAGCAAAGTACAAATATTTTACCACAATTTCATCAGTTCTAGGTTTGGGCTCTCTTATCTTTGAAGTTTTATTATTATAACAACTATGAAGTGACACTTCACTGCTGCTTTAGCATGCATTCCTATTATTAGTGGGGAAGATATTTTTTTATATGCTCAACTACTAACTTTCTCTTATATAAACTGCCTGTTCATGGGCTCTGACCCTTTGATTTTATGCTTAGAAATGTGAACATGCTCTTTATACTTTAAAGCTTTTGAGCCATTGTCATATTTAATGTAATGATTTCCCCCAAACAATTCTTACACTTTGGGGTGGGGGGGTGGTAGTTTAGTTCTCAATTTGGAAAATAAAAAATTTCAAATATTTGACTATGTCCATCTTTTCTTTCTTGGTAATTGTGATAGCCAGGCTCCAAGCTGCCCTCCAATCATTCTTGCCTCCCGGTAAGACTACCAATTCACAGGCTTGTGTAGTTCACTCCCACACTGTATATGGCTGGATCTGTGTAACCAATAGGGTACTACTGAAATGACTGTGACTCCTAAGGCTAGGTTATAAAAGGTATTACAGATTCCACTTTGCTCTCTCTCAGAGACCTGCTTGGGAGAACCCAGCTGCCATGTTGTGGACACACATACAGCCCTATGAAGAGGTCCACATGGCAAAGAACTGAGACCTCATGTCAATTGGCAGCATTAATTTGCCAGTTAAGTGATTCATCCGGAAGCCTTCACATAACTGAAGCACCAGATGAAATCTTGACTGCAATCTCATGAAAGAAATCAAGTCAAAACCACCCAGGTAAGCCACTCCCAAATTCCTGACCCATAGAAATAAAAAATGTTTGTTGTTGCTTTTAGCTGCTAAGTTTCAAAGTAAGTTTTTTCTACAGCAATAGATAACTAATAGTTACTTATTCTACTAGTTCTATAGAAGTTCCCTCTATGGTAAGTCTTCACATTGCATTCTTCCCTATCTTACAGAAATTCAGAGATAACCTCAAATACGTGTATAATGCTTCTTAGAAAGCAGGCCTGTGACACAACCCTCCCCTTAGCCCCATGTCCTTCCCACCTCACCTAGAGCAGATTCATTTTTACCTGCTTTATATATTTGGGTTCCCGTAAGATTTCTCAAGGGTTCCATTACAAAAATAGTTTGGCAGTCAATGCATTGTATGACATGGCACTATATTTTAATTTTATCTTTTATGGTTTATATTTAACTGTGAAATCCATCCATAGTTCATTATGGTTTGTGATAGTATGATGGAGATGGTCACCTACTACACAAGATTTCTTCCCACCTTCTTCTAATGCATTCTATACATAAAATCTGAAAAGCTAAAAACTATACCTCCTGGATTCCTTTGAAGCTAGGCTCTAGATATGAGTAAAGTTCTAACAACTTGATATGTTTGAGTGATTTTTGAAAGGCAGAAATGAAGCAAAGACCATCTTCCTCCTTGTATTGACTGTTTTTGTTTATTTGTTTGTTTGTTTTCTGGGCAGGTGAAAGGGAGGACGATGACACTGTGTTTTTCCAGGACCCATCAGCTCCAAGTCAAGTAGTTGTTTCAATCTAGTTGCAGAGGGCACAACTCAGTGGCCTATGTGGGGATCAAACAGACAACCTTGGTGTTATGAGCACTGTGCTCTAACCACCTGAGCTAACTGGCCACCCCTTGACTGCATTTTAATGAGAAACAAAGTCATGAAAATGACTTTCCATTCTTCACCTTCATGGCTACCCAGAAGCAGTTGTGATGATGTCCAAATTCAGCATTTCAGTATCCCACTACAGAACTCAATAGGTCCACAGTAGCCTCCCACTCCCGCCTCTTCCAGATGGAGGCAGATGGAGTGACTCCCTGGTGGGTCAGTTCTGCAGTGTCCCAGGAATTAGTCCTTAAAGCACTGCCTAGAGTTTGCCTCTTTAGCTCTTCCAACAATTTCACAAATACATGATTGTAATACTAAACTCCTTTCCTCTTGAAGTATCTGGCATATTTTCTGATTTCTGGAATATATCTTGATTGTTACTGATATAAAACACTGAAAATTAAGCCAATGATCAAAGATAATGCAGGTTTGCTAACACTTTCTTGCAAAGCCTTGTAAGTTGTTAAAATGTAGACCAAGACTATCTCTGGAATTGACAAACTGGGAGGCTCTTTGCAAAATCTTTCTTAGAGCTCAGAATTTCACACAGCTCACTAAATTGCAGTGTCAACACTCTATTTCCCAATGTGACATATGTAAGTTTCTATCAAGAACAGAACCATACTGGTTCTATTCATAAAGCTTAAGGCATAAACCAAGAAAGATAAGTAGTGATTATTAAAGAAACCAGCAATAACTTCAAACTGATTGCTGTGATTTGAACAATGTTTAATAATGAAATATAAAGATCAACAGGAAAAAATAAGTCTATGTAAAACTTCTTATTAAAAAAACCTAAGACCTGGTTTGAATTAAGTGAATAAAACATTTCAATTATACATTTAAATCCCTCCCTTGTCTAGGAGCTCATCTAAGTTACCTAAAACCAGAATCAAATTGAAATATTACTTTCATAAGGATCAAGAATACAAACTCAGTTAAACATACTTCCCTCTTGCCTGATAGCACATGTTAGATAAAATAGAGGGGGGTCACATACCACTGTTTCCACAGTCGGCACAGGAGATGAGTTCCTCTGGCTTCTTTTCTCGATTTTGTTCTTTTGTACCAAGACAGAAACTACAGATGGGGATTGGTTCAGCAACCGGCTGTAAAGAAAAACACAGTTCACTCAGGCACTGGTACTATTTTTTAGTAGTAATATAAAGACATTAAAATTAGCTTTAAATTCCTACAAAAGTTATATGTAACTTTAGAAGAATTGCATCACTCTCCTAAATTTCCAGCTAAGTAGGTGAGTTTTTACAAACTGGTCCTTGTAGTGCCAACCTAGGTCCAAAAAAAATCATATCCCAATCAAGTTGGTCACTTTGAAAATAAATGATACAATATGGATTAAACAAAGCAAATCTTTCACCTAAGATTGAAAAAATTCACTGAATTAAGTGCAAGAAATCACAGTATCAACTCTTGAAAATGATCTATAATCCAGGCCATGAGTAATGAATGAGGGTCTGTTTCAAGGCACTGACAAAAAGAATGGAAAAGAGAGAGAAGAGATATTTAAAAGACAGAACTGGTAGAATCCAATGGCTAACTGATTTGGGCTGGGGAGCACAGTAAGGAAGATGGAAGGCTTAGACACAATTAAAGAAGTGAAAAGGCAAGCCACAGAATAAACGACATTAACAACATGTTTAACTAACAAATGGCTCATATGCGAATATTTCAAGAACCCTCACATATCAGTAAGGAAAAGACAGACAACTCAGTAGAAAAGTAGGCAGAAGATGTCAATTGATAATTCACAAGAGAAAAAAACATGAATAATATATAAGTGGCCAATAAACATTAGGAAAGATGCTCAACCTCATTAGCCATCAAGAAGTAGATCTTTAAGAGTGGTTAAAATTATGAAGACTAGCAATAGTAAGTGTGGATAAGAAAGTTGGAACAACAGGAACTCTCTTAGATGGCTAACAGGAATTTAAATTGAAATAAACCACTCTGAAGACTATTTGACATTATCTACTAAAATTAAACATATGCATACCATACGATCCAGCTATATGGATCTTCCACTCCATATAGGACTTCCACTCCTAGCTATATACCCAAATGAAGTTCAAATACACATAAACAATAAAAAACACACCAAAACGATCACAGTAGCATTATTCATAGTAAAAGTTACTCAAAAATTTCCCAAATAACTAGCAATGGTTGCACAGATAAAATGTGCTATATCCATACAGTAGACTACTAAACAGTAATGAAAATAAATTACAGTCAACAACATGGATGTGCATCCAAACAACTGAATGAAAGAACAGGCACAAAATAACGTACACTGTATCATTTTCTTTATGTAAAATTCAAAAATTTCTATATATTGTTATAAGTCAGGATAGTGGTTACCTTTAGGGAGAAAGGAAGAGGTATTGAATTGGAAAGGGGCTTCTGAGGTACTGGTAACGTTCTTTTTGTTGACCTGGATGGTGGTTTCATAGATTTTAATTATGTAATAATGAAGGTATAGACTTACAATCTGTGTACTTTTCTGAATGCATATTTTAATTTGAAAGTTAAATTTAAATTAATGAGCATCTATGGAGTAGGACTGTGGTACCTTTGGAACATTCTGCAAGATGATTTGGACATTGAGTTTGGAACTTAGGAGAGAATAGGTTGGAGATGGATTTTAAAGACATCAACATGCAGGTAATAATTGATGGCACCCAGTTAAAAGGTGGAATGGGTAGAATATGGTAGAGAATTAAGGCGAGGGGAGTGGGAAAATGAGATGAAGTCTGAGATAGAAGAATACCAACATTTAGAAGCATCAAAGGGAAAAAAAGAACTAGAAAAGACCATGCCTGAGAGAAAACAGAACCAAGAGAAGTGATAACACGAATTTCAAGAAGCAGGGAGCAATCAACCATCAATGTTGGAAGATAAAGTTATCAGTGGATTCTACAACTGAGAAATAGTTGGAGACCTCACTAAAAAAGCACCATTTTCAGTGACAGAATAAGAACTAAAGTCACAGGAACCAACAAACTGCCATGAAGGGACAGACAGCAGACAGGAGATAGCCAAAAAGAAACGGAAAGAGTTTTCACATGTTTGAGGTATTTAAAATGAGAAACTAAAACCTATTTAAATACGGAAGAGAAGATACACATGGTCAAAGATTCATAAAACAAGAAATAACAGGAACATATTATGTAGTAAGGTTTAGAGCTGCACTGTTCAATATGGTAGGCACTATAACATGTGGCTAATTAAATTTAAAATAAGAGTAAGTTAAATTAATTCCCCAGTCACACAGGTAATGATTTAGACAAACTGGCTGCCTGGTTACTTGGAGCTGTGCAGACAGTCAGTTTTAACTCAATTATTCTGATACTTATCAAATGACCATAGTCTTAGACCTTGCCCACTCATTACACAAAACAAGTTTCTGATTATCCCCAGTAATTACAACTTTACTTAAGTTTTAACAGTACTAATATTTACAGTGTGAATATAAGACAGGCTGAAAAGAAACTTTTTAAAGTCAAATAAAGACACTGGTACAAACAGACTCAAATTATATAGAAACAGTTAGTTTTCGGTAACACATGGCAGTTCAGCCATATTTCCTTAACCTAAACACTTCACATTGAAGATGTTTATTCTTTGACATCACAGGACCAAACATAAAAATGATAAATTTTTCAGCTACCAAAACAATATTGAATCCATAGAAAAATACTATTACTGAAAATTACCATAATTTTTTTTAACTACTTGATCATTTCAGGGTTTTAAAGTGCAATTTGGGACAGAGTAATAGTATTTTGAGGATTAGTCATTTTAGTTGATGAGCTACAAACAAAAAAGTGGTTTAAATAAATCGTCTAGGTTACAACATGATCTATGAGGGCTTTCATTGTTGATCAACTAGCACTGTTAATCAGTAATTGTGTGATTTTAGAATATGGCTAACTATACTGTTAAGAGCATAAAACATTACAATTCCAGGTCATTCTCATTCCCAAAATATTAATGAGCATGAAAATCAGCGAGAAGGGCTAAGACTACATTGGGTTCACTGTAAGATTCGAATCTGAAAAGTACTGAGGTGGTTTTAGGACAGTGAAGAGATATTCATAACATTTTCCCAGTAAAACTTTACAAACTGATTTCATTATCTTGTATCAAAAAGATAAAGTGAGAACAATTATTAATACAATGAAGAGGGTAAATGAGGTCAAATACAAGGTGATGGAAGGAGAACTGACTCCGGGTGGTAAACACACAATGTGATATATAGTTGATGTATTATATTATGGAATTGCACACTTGAAATCTATGTAATTTTACTAACCTTTGTCACCCCAATAAATTTTAATTAAAAAAAAATCTGTGTAGATAAGCAATATGCCATATAATCACTGTTCCTACACCTGTCCAAGCTTAGTCCTTATCTTACTGTTCTCATATCGATACAAAGTAAATCTGTTCTACAGCTAATAAAACAAACCAAAAAAAACTTTGTAGCAAATGACTTTACACACCATTAAACATAGCAGACAGAGTGAACCTGTTAAATCAGAGCATGTCACTGGGCTGCCTCAAACCCTCCATCCAGTCCAATGATTTCCCTCTCAGACTAAATGCCTAATGACTACAAGGCCCTATGTGATCTGCACCCCCATATACACACACAATTACCTCTACGACTTGGTCTCTGCTGAGCTCGCTCTCTCTCTCTCTCTCTCTCTCTCTCTCTCTCTCTCTCTGTCTTACATCTATCTACTCCAGCTTCTCTGCTTGCATTTTCTTTACAAGTCAGATGTTCCCATCAAAGCATATTCACATTTGCTTCTCCTCCTATCTGTAATGTTCTTCCCTAGATCCCTCAGATCTCTACTCAAGTCACCTTCTCAGTCAGCCTTCCTTTGACCATTCCATCTAACATTTCAAAACAACTCACCATCCACAACAATTCATATCCCCCTTCCTTGCTTTATCTTTTCCCCGAATCCTTTTCATGTAATTAACATATTGTGTGTATCTTATTATTTGTCCCCCACTAAATGTAAACTCTATGAACATTCTGATCTATCTGTTCAGGACTGTATTCCTAGTACTAAGAATAGTGTCTCGCATATAGTATGCATTCAGTAAGTGTTGTTCAGTACATTAATTAAATCACCCTGTATAACTACAAATAATAAGAAACATAGTTATCTTTGAGTTGTTCTCAGATATAAGCCTCATAAAGGTATGAGCAGCTCAATAATAATTGTAGTATATAAATGCTCTGCTATTTACAAAGTAATCTCACAAGTACCTTCATGGTCTCAATAACTAAGTAAGAGTTCTGCCACAGTAACCCATTTCCATTCAATTTCCCAAAAGTAGGGGGAGATTTGTGGCAGGAGGTACTCAGATTCTATCTTGTTGCCTTAAGCACCATGTTGAGATCTCCATTATAATCACCAGATGGCAGCATTGAGGCAAATCCATAGTAGATGCTCTAATAGCAAAGAGTTGAGTTAGCATTCTGAGTTGAGCTTTTGGAAATAATTTTTAAAAACAAGAATAGTAAAAGTTTTGCCCAGTGATTTCTACTATGTGAGGTTTATACCATGGAAGAAAAAAATTTTTAGACACAATCATTTAGAATATCTTAAATGATATTTTCTAGATATCCAGATACATCATCTGAGACAGCCCCATCTTGAAGTACAATTTTCATTTTTCCCCAAGACTTGCCTTTAATTTTTTAAAGCCAATACACACTTGTCTCCATTTTCTAATATCTTCTGAGGAACTCAAATCCACCTTGATGCTGCCTATGTTCTTAAACACCAACATAAAGGATAGTCAAAAATCTGTTTTGTTTATGTAATTATTTCTAGTTACTTCACAACTGAACTGAATGATAAATTCTAGAATTTGTGACCACCAAAATTTTCAAGGAAAAAAACTGCTCCTATAAAACTTAGACTTATGACTTCAGGAACCTGTAAGAGATCATTTCGTAAGCTATCCGGCAATAAAGATCTGTAATTCTTAAAAGCTACAAGTTTTCTCAAGTTTTATGGTCACTGAAAATTACTGAGACAAGTTAGCATAGCCAATATTAAGAGTATGA